GACAATACTGAATTAACACTGCTCGTGGCGGTGCCTTCCCGCGGGCTGGGGGCGGGCGGGATTGGGTTGGTTTCGATGAGCCTTTTGGCCTCACTGCAGCATGCTTTAGTGGCAGAAGCGTTCAGGAGTGCAGCATCCCTGCAGGTGGCCCGCACCTGCACGGGCTGGGGAGTACTTCCAGAGTAGCTTTGGACGTTGCCGTTCAGCCGGGGATACGATACCGTGCTTACGGTTTTGCCACGTTTTTTTACTTTTCAGAATTACCAGTGTTTCGAAAGTGTGGGGGAGAGGGATGTGAAAGCCAGTCGCTTCTATATTGGGCTGGCAACAGTAAACTCCCAGTGTAATCCTGGTTTGGTCAGTAATCATCACGCTTGTGGCCAAGAGTAGAGCCGTGAACCGTGCTAACACGTTCACGGCTAAGGGCATCTACATCAAGGGGCTGTGACCAGTGTTAATTCAGTATTGTCGGAAGGAGCTTTGAGTTTGAAAACAGACTTCAAAGCCTCTAGAGCATTGTATCTATCACTTGTGTTTCAGTTGAAACTGTGTGGCTGTCCCTCAGGTGCTTCAGTGTTACAAACAGCACAAGAAATGAGCCCTATGAACTGTGTTTTTGGCATTGACTAATGTGTTCTGTTTCTTCCTGAAGCTTTTAATTTTTAATTCGGGAAAAACTTCTGCTAGGCTATATGTTGCACGTTGATTACAGACATGTAAGATGAGTAGCAGCCTTGTTGGAAGCAGTGTGATGTTTCTGTTGAGTGGGAACTTCAGCATGCAGCACAGAACCATGTATCTTGTTAAGCCCTCGAAAAGTACAGCACACCTGTGTAAGTCCTTTCGTGAAAGGTGAAGAGTGTTTTGTTTTGGTGCAGGCAAGTACTGGCAGATAGTTGTCTAGTAAAATTCGTCACTGGATTTTAACAGTTTCTACACACCTGAGCAGCAGCAATCATAGTAGTTTAAGCAGTCACTATGAATATGTGCAATGATATTAGGGGTTGAATCTCATACCACTGTTTACATCATCTCAGAATTTGTGTCTCCTTTTTGCTGTGCTGAAGGGAACATTGGGGGCTGGTGTTGGTGTGATGCCTGGGATCATATGTTTTTCATTTTCAGATGTTTTGCATCCTTATAACCTGAACAAAAGCAAAACAGTCTCTTCATATTTGCTGCTTGGCACTCGCTGCTGTTGCCCATTAGAGCAAAGTAATATTAAGTCTTAGTCTTATGTGACCTATCAATACCAGGTTAATTTGAAAGTTCAAGGTAGGACTTAAGATCAGTGCAAATATTACCAGTTTGGTCCAAGTGGTAACTGGTAGGAAATAGTAACTTTTGTGGCTGACAGGACTGTGCTGAGTGTCATCATATATTATTGGTGACTAAATGTACACAAATTTACACAGCCACACCTTTTCTCAGTTCTGGCATGTGCTTGCACAAACCCTGTTTTTGCAGATGGCTTTTGTTAGCCTGGGAATCCATATCTGCTTAGGACAGCGTTGGTGTTGTGAATTCTTCTGGAGGGAATTTTTGCCAGAGGATGCAACATGTTCTGCAGTTAAATCACTTTGCTGGGAGCATCCCTGTTCCCTCCCACTTGTGCAGTGCTGAGACTGGGGAGTAAGTGTGAGAGAAGATCCTTGGTCAGTGTGTGGGTAAATAAAGAATATATATGAAGGGTGTGAGAAGGCAGGTCTGGCAGGGAGCAGTGTCATAACTGTTTGCTTACACTTTTTTTCCAAATGCACTGCTTTCCTTTTGTTGTGGACAGCTTGTTTAATTGAACTATGTGTCATCTTTAACATAAAAGCTGTGGCAATACTCTCCATGGTGGTGTTAGGTAGACACCTGCTGTGATTATGTTGTTCAGTGAAAGATTAGCATGTGGAAGACTTGATATAAGAGCTGGCTGAAGAATACTATGCAGATGTTTTTAAGGGCAGCATTGTGTAAATAGAGTATAATAGAACATGTGTTTTTAAGGGCAGCATTGTGTAAAATAGAGTATAATAGAACATGTGTTATTTGAAGTTGGTTCTTACTTCCCAAAATTAGGATTAGATTGAGGAGGCACAGCTTCTTCTGGGAGGCAAGGGGAGAATCAGATTGTCGTTATATGAGGAGTTTGAGCCATGACTGTTCCTTTTCCCTTTCCAATATAAAGCTTTGTTGGTTGCTTGTAGCATACTCCGACATTAACTCTCAGGACTCTTACTTCCCAGGCTAGATTTCTTGCCATCAACTGAAACTTCCCTTGCAAAATTCAGACCAAGTAGCTCATCTCTTGAGTGTGCTAAGGAAAGAATCCCAACAACGTTTTATTCATACTAAACCATTTTTACAGCTATTTTTTTTAATATATGCTTGTACCTTTTTTGCTTTGGAGGTAAAACTTAGGTTTGGCAGAAGATTTGTTCCATGTAGGTTGTACCTTATGCCATTCCTAAGAAAACCTGCCTGGAGCTGAGTGAGTTATGGGACTGCTTCCACATGCCTGAAAAAGTTGTCGAACACCTTCAGCCGGACCATTCACCTGAAAAAACTCCACATGCAGTAAAGGTGCTCCAGTTCCACAAAGCTTTGCCTGCCTTTCACAACAAGCAGCAGAGCAGGCTGTGCCTCCTTGGCCAGCTTCCCCTGTGTTCCTTCTGGCAGCTGAGGCTGTTGAGGCTGCAGCTGAGAGCAGGGAGGTTGCAGTTAAGGTTTCTCCTGTTGGTGTCTGAGCAAGTGAAAGATGAAGGAAAAGCTACTTGGTGTGTTTGCAGGTACAGTGGAGAGGGGAAAACATCTGGAGCTGGGAAGGGAAAGGTGAAGCTGCAAATATCAGAACAAGGGCTGGGGAAGGCTGCACTAAGTACTCTTTCTCTACTTTTCCTCTCTTTCATGGGTTGTTATTTACATTTTAATCTCAGAAGTGGCAAAGGGACTGCACGTGCTTTTTTTTTTTTTCCTCCATAGAACAATCTTCCACCACATCCCAAAGGCCAAAACTATCTGGATAATGCTTGTTTTATCCATTCTGGAATGGACAATTACCCTAAATGTTGGCTATTCATCTCCTAAGGGTAAAATGATTGTTGCTACTTTGATGCAAACTAGCTAACTCCTGTCCTTTTCCCTGCTCCCCTGTCCTTCTCCACCAACTGCCTCCAAGTTGTTCAAGCATTGAATTCTGAAATATTTTTAATTTCTTTCAAGTGTAATTATTTATCCTAATATTAAAGATACTGCTGAAATCATCATGTTCTTTCCCAAATTTAATTGAAAAACATTTCTCTCTCACCCACGGCATTCCTCTGCACTCTCCAATCCCACTGCCTTCCCTGTCATATATTCTTGTCTGTTTCCAAACAGCTGGCCCTGCCCTATCTCTCTTCTTTTTATCTGTTAAAAGTGCTGTAGTTTCAGTGTAGTTCTGTATGCTCTCCTGCCCAAACTTTTACCTCTGCTTTAGAGAACTGAGTACTGTTGTGTGTGTCTAGTGCAGATGGTGACTCTTTGGTGCTTGGATCCTCTGATGAGTGGCCTTTTATGCTGTAGCTGGAAGGCTTTGTTGCTGCAGTTGCCAAGCTGTACTGGGAAACACCAGCCCATGACATGGAAGAATTGCAGGGAGAGAGCAGTGTAGCCCGAAGCTGTTTTCCTCCTGCTTAGGGTTTTGCATGCACAGATGTGGTGGGCTGGTCCTGGCTAGACACCAAATGCCCACCAGAGCCACTCTATCACTCTTCTCCTCAGCTAGACAGGGGAGAAAAAAATACAGCAAAAGGCTCATGAGTCGAGATAAGGGCAGGGAGAAATCACTCATCAGTTACTATCATGGGCAAAGCAGACTCAACTTGGGCAAATTATTTTTGTTTATTACCAATCAAATCAGAGTAGGATAATAAGAAATAAAAACTAAATCTTAAAACACCTTCCCCCCACCCCTCCCTTCTTCCTGGGCTTAGCTTTACTCCCCATTCTCTACCTGTTCCCCACAGCAGCACAGGGTTATGAGAATGGGGGTTTTGGGCAGTTCACGGCATGTTGTCTCTGCCATTACTTCCTCTGCAGGTACTTTCCTATATCCACAGTGGTCTCAGATAGCCTCACTCCTCTCTCTGGCTGCAGTTGTGCAGGTTTTTGTCCTTCTCCTAAATATATAATGCCAAAGGTGCTGCCACTGTCAGTGGCACTGTTTGGCCTTGGCCAGCAGCAGGTCCATCTTGGAGCTGACTGGCAATGGCTCTGTCACACATGGGGGAAGCTTCCAGCAGCTTCTCGAAGGACCCACCCCTGTAGCCTCCTGCTGCCAAACCCTGCACGACAACAGGTGAGCAGATGTTATGGATGTGCTCTGGATCCAGCTTTTGGGGCTGCTCTGAGAAGGCTCCTCAAATGAGCAGGGGTTTTGAAGATGAACTGCTGATGTCTTGTGTTCTGAGTATAGAATCAAAAAATATTCCAAAAAGGAAACCATTAGATGTTGGCTCTGGAGAAACAGGAAGTGCTGTAGCAGGATAGTAGAATGAATCCAGGTATCTTGCTTTGATCTCCAAAGCTTCAAAGCTTCATTTCCATTTTGTTGATGACTCTGAGAACTCCTGAATATAAGTGCTAATAATACAGAATAGAATATGTGTAGTGTAAGCAAGTGGTAACTTGGCTCTCTCTAGCTTTGATGCTGACTATTTCACCCACTGCATGGGTGGTTTGGGGTTTTTTGGTGATGTAAGAAAATGGAAAACAGTACAATGGGAATTCAACACAAGGGCATCTGTAGGGTTGTTAGACCTTTTGCCTGTATCCACTTAAAGCAAAACACTTCTAAGGGTAGAACTAAACTTTTGTGTGGTCCTCATGAAAATACATATGATGGTAAACAGAAAATTACTCATGTCATTCTTGTATTATGTACCTGGGTTTTATTTTTGCTGAGACACTGCTTGCTTATTAAATTTATTTCTTTCGTAGTTTTCAATAATTTTGTTCTTTTTCTCAAGTTAAAATCATAAGGTGGAACAACAGAAACACAGCAATTCATAAAATCATAGGATGTGCAGAGTTGGAAGAGACCCACAAGGGTGACAAAACAAGACTTGTACAGTTAAATTAAGTTTCTAGGGGTGTGTGTTGTTTCCCGAACTGAAGAACAAAAGTTTCTGTAGTTTTGGGTCAGCACCAAGGTAAATACCAGCATGTTATGAAAGTTTTTCATGCTTTGTGGATATTACTGTAGACAAAACAGTGCATTTTTTACTGTATGCACACACCAGTTTTTCCCCATACTTAATTACTTGCCAAAGTTGAGCCTGTGTCTCCACATACTTGCATATTTGCAGTTCTCCTGTTTAACAAGACCACAAGCTTATAATTAATGGGTTTAGGTGTTTCTC